GCCTGTCTGGTGCCAGCCTTGCCATGGGCAGGGACATCTTCCCCTGGGCACCGCTGCTCCATGTTTCCCAACCTGGCTTTGGACACAGCCAGGGATGGGGCAGCCACAGCTTTGTTATAGATTGGTAATGTGATAATTGACTCTCACAATTAAGGGGTGAGTATTGTGTGTGTGCTAAGAGAAATTTTGTTGATGTATGGTTATGGTATTGTAGTTTGTTGTTTGGGCTCTCTCTGTTCTCCCCATAAATCCCCTTCCCACCTCCCATATTGTTGCAAACAGACAGCTTTGATTGTCAGGGTTGTCAGGGTCATGTGGAGGGAGGGCGTGCACCTTTGCCCCTTGCATGGGAGCGTTGGGAAAGGGCCAAGCCTGTTGCTTGGAAGGCGTGGCATGACAACACCTCACCTCCAATCACACAGCAGGAAGGTCTCTACCAATGGACAGCAAGGAAGAGTCACCTGGCAGACTTTGGGAGGGGCCAGGGATTTATAAGGAAAATGTTTGAATATGTATGACTGCTTATGAACATGAATTTAGTTGATGCCACAAAAAGGGGGCACAAAAAGGCTGAGCCACCATTTTGTGGCAGTTGGCCGCACTCCCAGTGCTGTCCCTTTTTCCTTATTCAGTCCCTTTGTTGTGTTGTTGAGATCTAATAAACATTTAAAAATTTAAAGTGAGCAGTCGTTTCTCAATTGGCCATGGTCCCCAATATCACCAGGACATCCATGAGCCCCAGAAAAGAGAGATCACCGAGGCACTAAGGCCACCCCTGACATTTTCCCTGGAGGAAAAGAGAAAAACAGGAAAAGAGAATGGAAGACAAATCAAATCTCCTGGTTTTTTGAAAATATTAAGATGAATGCTACATGTATATGTTCAAATAACTTTGCTTTTATTTCTGCTATTAACAAAATCTTAGACAAGGCAGTTGTGGTAGCTGACATAGTTATGAGTGAACGGTCTCTTTGGTTGGGATAACATCCAGTGAACATGTCATGAGGACCCTGCCATTTATATGCCAACTTTCTGCATCTGCTGTCTGAAGAAAGTATGGACCAAAGGCCAAACTGGAAGTGATAAAGAGAAGCAGCCAAAACCACAGCCAAGAAGCAGCCATGCTCTAAAAAAGGCAGACACAAGGATGGGCCATGTTAAACAGTTCTTGGAATATGGAAGCTAGTTTATGGAACTATATGGATATGCATAACGGTCTATGAATAGGCAATCCCAGTCCCATGTCCCCCCACAAGTGTCCCCTGGAGTCCCCCCAGCTCCTGATATTCAAATCAGCCGGAGTGAACTCCCTGATGGAACTGGAGGTCGCAGAAAGATGGAATTCTTGATCAGCTCAAACTCACAGCAGATCTCTCCTGGTCCTGCACATCAGGAGGGACATTGCCAACAGAATGTATCCACCCTAATTATACATATTCATTAAAATGGGCTGCTTAGCTAGTACAGAGCCAGCTCTCAAAGTGGCTGAGGGCTGGTAACGCCGCGGTGATGGTGTGGCCGCAGCCCTGGTACTGGTAATTGAAGGAGTCCTGAGCCATGTCTAGGAGCATGAACTTGATGGCTGCAGTGGTCGCAGTCATTGCCAGCAGTGCCAGGGTGGGAGCCAGGAGGGCCATGATAGTGGAACCCTGGAAAAAGTTAAAGATAGAATCTAAAATGTTAGGCTTTGCGCTTTCCCAGATCAACTGCACCTGCGTAAGCAGTATGATAAATTATATAATTGTTAGATGTGATGATTGTTTAGTAATTAAATGTAATTATTATATAACCATAAGAAGAATAGTGAGAAACTATGTTGGAAATTCAGACAGGGGCTAAATTTATGTATACAATAGAACAATATAAGTTTAATAATTAACATGAAAGTTATGTAACGATAGAGTATAAAACATGATCATTTCAGATGTATGGTCAGAGTCAGATTTGGGTTGAATATATCCCGATTCCCAGAGCTCTTAATAAAAAGCATCGCATATAATCCCCCGTGATTATGTGTTTTTGAACGCTAACATTTTGGCGACCCAGATGGAACCCTTGTGAGTGCTGCTGAGCAAGTTCGTGACTCGATCACTCTCCAGCCAGCACCGAGGGATTTTCGTGGAGCCCATCGGCCGCGACCGCTTCCGCCGCTCACAAACGTCCCCAGGAGAAAGGTAAGGTGCTTTTTACTTTGGTTTGGATGCCTGCCAATAAGATGCAGCGAAAGCTATGCTTGGTTGGGCTAAAGGAATTCCTATTGGTACAAGCCTAGGCGCCGTTCTGTAAGACAATCACGAAAGCATTGCGGGTTTGGCATTTATGGTATTTTTGAAATGGAGAAACTTAAAGGGATTTTGGGCAGTTACACCCCTATCCTGCAAAATTCTCCTTTGGGGTGCTTATTAGCACATTGGAAATAAGGTAACTTTGGGGAAGAATTAAGTAAAACTAAGTTGATTGATTATTGTAATTCATGGTGGCCAGAATATGCCTTGGAGAACGGTGAAAAATGGCCAAAATACGGTACTCTGCAATATAACACTATTTCGCAGTTAATGCCATTTTGTAAACAAGAAGGAAAATGGGATGAAGTACCATATGTTGATCTGTTTT